CCCCCCCCCACATGCATCCGTATTCTCTCTCTCAGCTCGGTGGGCGTGACATGGTGGCAATGCCGACCTCGCCAGCGTCACCATCGGCACCATCGTCGGGTCAGCAGAGCGACGTGGCCATTCCGCTGCACCTGATCGTCTTTGGGAGGACGGTCGAGAACACGGCACGCATCAACGGGCACTACCACTGGACGGGCACCAAGAACAAGAGGCCATGCTACAAAAAGGTTAGGGGGTCGGTGGCTGGGAGGGAGAAGGGGATGTCTGTCTGTCGTCTGTCGTCAATGTGTGTGCAGGACGCGCACAGTCCGCTGTTTCTGTTCTACTCGCCTGACCTGAAGGGCTGGGTCATTTCTGACGACGTAAGTGAGCCACTGCCGTGAGACGACAGAGGCAAAGACACAGAAAACACCTCCCTCTCTCTCTCTCTCTCTCTCTCTTTTTGCCATGGATTCCTGGATGCGCGCGTGCAGGTGGACAATGACTACTACCCATTTGCCGTGCTGCCCAGCCAGTCGCTGTTGCCCCTCAACACACAGCACGACCCACACGGACATACCAAGCACACAGACACAACGCCGGCCGACCAGCGGTGGCCGATAGATCACGGGACGACGGCGCATTGGTGGGTGCGGCAGGCCTGGTGGGATGAGGAGCATGAGGATGAAGACGACAGCTTTGATGAAGACGCCGCTGTGGTCGTCCAAGGTGAGCGCCGCGAGGGGGCAGAGAGACACACATCGACTGATGCTGTTCTGTTGATGTGTGTGTTTGTGCAGTTGCGGGTGGGTATGACGAGTACAGGATGGCGCACAGCAGAGTCATGGGCAGGCACAAACACCACCACAAGGTCAGGGCAACCACACACAATCAGACAGACAGGACCAGACCACCTGTGTGTGTGTGTCTGTGTTGTCCCCGTTCCATGCAGAGACTGCTCACAAAGGTGCGCGAGAAGGCGGCCGCACACGGGGAGGCTGCCAGCGGCGCCTCTCACCACCAGCATGACATCGGCAGGTCCCACACACCCCCCTCCCCCGTCCCCACAGCACCCCTTTTCGCAGCAGCCAGACGGCAGCCAATCCACAGATAGATCCACACACACACACACACACGTAGAGTAGCCATCACCGCCACCACAGCATATCTGTGTGATGCGTCTGGTTCGGTGGGCGGACATGGGCATGGCGCTATGCCAACGGCGCACTGGCTGTGGGTGGTTGGGCGGGTGGGTGGGTCGGTGGCAGGGTGGGATGCTTTTGTTGGTTTTGTTCTCTTTTTTGTTTGGGCGTGGCGCGACGACATGTGTGTGTGGCCCTTCCATGTAGCTCATCTCATCTCATCTCATCTATCTCAATGCAAAGACATGCTCAACGAAACGCCTCCGTTCATTGATGAGTTTCATTCGCTCGAGGTCTCTTCTTCACCATACACCCCCACACCCACCCACACACCCACATGCATTCAGCAGTATACGTCCCACTCACTGGTCAAAGGATGCTGCACACGAATCAAGGCGCCAAGCAGAGAGAGCGTGCTTGTGCTGTGCTGTACGATACACACATACACGGAAAAATGGAGCAAAGAAAACACGTGAAAAGACTTGCTCACTCACACACACGGCTACACGGGTCGCATCAATCATGGCAGACAGGCAAACAGACAGACACTTAGACAGACAGAACATACTGCCAGAATCAGCCACCCCACACCCTCTATCGCTTTGTGTCCGCTACTGAACCCCCTGTCTCACTAACAAAGAACGACCAGATATGTACATGTGTGTGCACAATGGACACCTGGATGGGATGGACCATCCATCCAGTCACTTGAGGCAAACACACACCAGCCACCCACCCACTTGATGTCATCCACAGCTCCACACGTACGGTACGGTGCTCGTGCTTAAACAAAGGCGCACGAGCATTTTACACAGCCATCAACAGAGATATGTACACGCTATACCAAATGTGTGTGTCCACACACCCAACCCCACACACACTACGTGTGTGTCATCACACGCACCCGCACACACTATGTGTGTTGTGGTGTGTCTAATAGTATCCGCCGTAACCACCACCGTAGCCGCCGCCATACCCACCGCCACCATACCCACCGCTGCCATCCTTCTTGTTCTTGTACTTACCCCACTTGTCCTTGATCTTATCCCACTTGTCCTCGAGCTTGTCCCAGAAGTCCTTGCCCAGCCTCCTCTCTGTGGGACTCGATGCTTCCTCCACATCCTCCAGGCCGTACCCACCACCGTACCCACCGCCGTACCCGCCGCCATACTTCTTGTTCTTGTAGCCATACTTCTTGGGCTTATACCTAAGCCAGTTGGGCTTGATCCTAAGCTTGTCCCAGAAGTCCGGGCCCAGCCTCCTCTCTGTGGGACTCGATGACTCCTCCACGGCCTCCAGGCCACTGGGCTCATCTTCATCTTCATCTCCATCTGCAAACATACTCACACACACGTGGCCAACACAATGACGTGTGGGCGGGGTGGCGATGTCTGCACACCCACCTATAGGTGCGGCCGTCGGCTCATCAGCCGCGTCCTCACTGTCTGCTGCCGCTGGCCCCGTCACAAGAGCATCAGGCACACCACCTACAGGCAGACAGGTACACAGGAAAGGCGTAATTGTGCAGTGTCTGCACCAGCTGCAAACAGCCATCGTGTGTGCGTACCATCGGATGTCACTTCGTCGGCGTCATCAGCTATCCCGCCTCTCAAACGCCGGGCCACCGCAGACGGAGCATCAGCAGGAGCAGCCCGCTTCATATCGTCAGCGCAGACCAGTGCGATGCCGAGCAGGCACACCAGCACCGAAAGGGAGAGGGCCTTCATCGGTCGTGGAGCGGACGTCGGGAGGAAGCGCAGACGAGCAGCGGGAAGACGAACAACGACAAGGGGCTTGCTGAAGAGAATAAGTCGAGGAGCGAGAGAGACTCGGAGTCAACCGATGAGAGTGGAGTCGAGGGATGCTGCAGATGGACAGAGAGGGGGGAGGCCGTTAAGACAGAGGGCAGAGAGACAGGGAGATAGCAGGAGGGCTGTCGTCGCACGGCTAACGCAGAGAGAGGAGAGCGCGGTGTGCCGCAACGGCGGCGAAAGATGTAAAGGATGTAAACGTTGTCCCCGCCGCGGAATTTGCCGATGATATCGGAGCCGCTGCCTCGGCATCCGATGCCCGCTCCATGTGGATGACCGGGAGGGGGCTGACGGCAGCCATAGCGGCCGTGAGGCGGCCTCTTTTCTCTCTGTCTCTGGACATTGTATGTGGATTTGTAGCTGCCTTGTCTGCGTGCTTTGTTGATTGATGGCGCCGTCCGTCTCGCGCAAAGAGAGTAGTCAGTGAACAGCAGACCTCCAGCTGTGCCTGTGTCTGTGAGTATCATGATCGGTCAATCACAACAGTTACTGTACGTAGGCAGTCAGTCAGTATGTATGTATGTATGCACATCTGTCTGTACGTAAGCAAGCACATGTGTTAGGGACGTATGTATGCATGTATGTATTTATGGAGGGCATCATTCGATCGAGGGCTCGACGAAAATCCCTCTCATGGATTAGATAGACACATCGAGTACGGACACATCATCGAATTTAAATCCACTCATATCATCGATCGACACGCATACGAAAACAGACAGTATGTATGCATTTGTGTATGCATGTGTATGTATGTACGTACATGCACACACATTGCACTTACACGCAAGTAGCGGCATCGTTGCATCCACGGCTGCCCAGTTGACACACGTCTGTGCAGTCAGCCAGCAGGGCAGCCGACGAGTAAGAGAGACGGATCAGGAGCAGCGCAGCGAAGCTCTAGAGAGAGGTGGAGAGGGCAAGACACAGAGAATGAGAGAGGGTGCAGGCAGGCAGGCAGCTCGTTCATTCCTTTCATACACACACTTTGGCTGCCTCGCAGCCAATGCCAATGTAGCGCGCATCATGCAATCAATACACAACAGACAGACAGGGGGATAGATGGCGGGGTGGATCGATGGACACATGGGTAGACAGATTGGCACGAGAAAGGCCGACCACACACAGCAACAACGGCGATACAGGCGATACACACTCAGGGAGACAAGGAAGGAGCCAGTCGGCAAAGCACAGCTCATTCACTCAACCAACCAACCAACCAACCAAGTCACAAACAACCGACCAATCGGCAAAAAGATGCATGGACACGGCAACCATGTAATAGTACGTGGGATGGGATGAATGGGATGCATGGGTGGACACGCGAAAAAGACCACACAGACACAGACACACACACACACACACACACGTGTACACAAACAACAGACAACCAACAAGAACGACAAAGTGTCACGCAGCTCTCTCCTCTCTCCTCTCTGGCATACAACCCAATCACTGTGGACGTACCTGCAATGCACATAATGAGAGTGAATGTATGTGAGTAGGTGCGCAGCGCAGGGAGGCTAGGAGAGCGATGGATGGATGGATGGATGGCATGTGGGCGCGTCGGCAAGGCACGTGCACCGACTTACTCAGTGACACGCCGCCTACCTACCTACACTCACGCACTCACTCGTTCATTGCATTGCGCTGCGCAGGAGGAGAAAAATGGGCCCTCATTCATTCATTCATTCATTGATTTCATGTCACATGTGAAGTGCAGCCAGCCGCGCTAATCTATGGAGATGGATGTCAGCGATCAGGCGAGTGAGTGAGTGTGTGAGGGTCCCCGTCTACCCACAAATAAGCGCTGATGGCCGTAGGTACTTGCGCGTTCATCCCCATGAATGCATAAATCTCTGCTGCCCTTGTCTGTGCTGACAAAGACGCCGTCTCGCGCCGCGTCGTGATCGCCATGCAGTCACTCACTCGCACCACATGTCGATTAATAAATACGCACAGCCACCCACGCACGCGCACAAACAAACAAGAGCCCGCCGATCGGGAGAGACACAGGCGGGCGGAAAACTGATAGATACGCTGCACACAAAACGGAAGGTAGAAGGTATCGAGAGGAAGGAAAGGGCAAAAACAAGGAAGAGAGAGGCAGAGGAAGAGGTCGCGGCCGTGTGTGTACACAGACAGCCACCTCGATCAGACGAGAAGAGAGAACACAACAAAACAAAGCCAAGTCATTAGCATGACAAAGCAGGCTCACTCGCTGCTCCATCGATCTATAGCTCCATAGCTCTGCTGAGTACCCAACCCAACCACCCACTCGGTTGACCATACCAGACCAGACCAACACGCAAGCGTATGTATGTATGTATGTGTATGGGGGGGCATCGTTATATAATACGCACTCGCACACGCACATGTACACACACATAGGTATATAGAAAGCGGTCCCTCCGTCTCCCTCCCTCCCTCCTTCCCTCCCTGCCCCGCTATGTTGTATTGCTCACCCCGTTGACTCACCATCCCATGGATGCGCGAGCACGGAAAATCATGTGCAGACAAGTGGGGACGTGACAGTGAGTGAGTGAGTGAGTGAGCGATTGAGTTAGTGAGTCAATGAATGAATGGGTAGGCGAGCGATTTCAGCACACACACTCGCACACACACTCGCACGTACACCCGCACAAAAGTACACAGCCCTTCGATGACACACGCGATGGAACGATTCAGGCATGCAATAATAGCTATAGTAGACAGACAGACAGACAGACAGGGGGCGCCGACGTCAATCTGGTCTAGATCCTTACGTACGATGCTTGCCGACACGGCCCCCTACACGGCCGCCGGCCGTTTCATTGACGGCCAGCCGCATTATCGGATATATTGTCACTCAAACAATGTTTGTATATTGCTCTCTGCATGTTGCCCCGACACACGACGATACCCAGGCAGGCAGGCAGGCCGATCAGTGACTGAGGCGGCTGACCGGCAAGGCAGCAACCGACACAAAAAGACAGATGTAATACGCATTCATACGAACGAACCAACGAAGGAACGAATCACGTGATTTCCCCACCCCATCGACCCCAACCACCCCATCGAGAGACCCCACCCATATACGCTCATCCCCTGCACGTTTGCTCGATCGGATGCAACATGACAAATACACGTAGCGGCCTCTTCCTTCTACCTATTCTCTTCCTTCTGTTCTCTTCCCTCCTTGTCTGTATGTGTACCCACCACTCAACCCTACCCACACCACCTACCCACTATGGACGTGTACTTACGTAAAGACCCGGCCCGCCTACGCTATGTACGTGTTGTGACAGCGAGGTGAGCTCCCCTGCTCTCTGTTCTCTCCTCTTCTCTGCATTTCTCGGTGTCGCGCCAATCGCCAGCCATTCTTGGTCGTCATCACGGTTGCTCGCTCGCCCGCTCGCTGTCCAGATGTCAGTCAGGGCGCTCACTGCTCGCCCCAGATCTTCTTGATGTTTGTGTATCCCCTGTCGGTGGTGCGCTGATGTGGAGAGGGGGACCTGAGAGACAGACAGACGAGCAGAGAGACAGACAGAAAGGGATGATTTCGTGTGATGTGTTTTGTTGCGTGTCGGTGTTCGTGTTTGTGTATGTGAGCATGTAGTTAGATGCATGTGTAGCAAGGAGCCCAGTGAGCCAGCCAGCCAGCCACCCACATGTCACGTACCGCTGTACCCGTACGCCAGCTTACAGCCAGTGAGCCACTCTCGTGGCCTGTGTGAGCAGTGTGTGCGCAGTGCGTGTGTGTGTGCGGTGTGCGTGGTCCTGTCGCTGTGATTGCTCTTATTTACAGAAAGAATGTGGGTTACATTCCGGTACATGACATAAACACTGACGTCTTCCACACACACATGCACACACACAGGGACGCCCGAACGCACACAGGACGGTATGCAATTACTTCCCATTGGTGGAAACACCGACACCCACCTTATCTAAATGTATGTGTGTGTGTACTCGAGAGAGAGAGAGAGGTGTGTGGAAACATCCACACAACCTTCATTCAGCTGTTCACCTGTCTGCATACACACAAAAAGACTCTCGCTCTCTCGCTCGCTCATGCAATCAATCCATGCAATCGGCGACCAACACACACACACACATCACACACACACACGTGTATCAAAACAGTCCATCAGAGTACGCACAAATACCGTTATACAGACAGACCGACAGACAGACAGACAGACTGACAGACTGACAGACAGACATACACGAATGTATGCAATAACTGCCGTTCCTCACAACAACAAAACGGCTCTCCTGTACCTGAATGACCG